TAAAACATATGACAGTATTTACATTTTCCTTGTCTTGATCTTTTATATTTTGTTTTGTTCTGGACTTGCTGATTTTGTATCTCAAGTCATCTTCAGCAGCTTAACTCCCCAAGTCCAAACCACCAGGTGTTACAAAGCTGGCACTTAAGGCACTTACCCCTTTTCTCTGTCTACCCAACAATTTTTTTTTTTTTTTACAAGAAAAACAATGGGTTTTTTCCTCCACTGGAACAATAACTTCCCCTAAAAAATAATTTAAAAAAAAATCACTTCTTTGTTTTCTTTCTTCTGAGAATGACACCCATCTATGTATACATTAGGGACTGTATTTCACGTGATGATTACTGGCAAAATCTGCTTTCAGACACACAAATGTTTGTAGAGCTCCTCACACCTCCTCTCAAAACTGAACTGCAACATGTGCAATAGGAAACAAACCCACTGTGGCATAGTTCCTTTCTTTTCTTCTTTTGTTTGAGCTCAATAGTATTATTTTCTTCGTACTTCTTTATTAGTTAACAAATAAATTATGTTTACTTCTGAATCTCAAGAGGATTACTATTAAAAAGGAAAATAACCTAATAACCATGTTTCGCTCCCATGAGAAGCATGTTCAGCCCCAAGTTCAGCTGACTGCTGATGCATGGCACCACTGTATTTCAAGACTTGCTGCCAAAAAGTAAGGAGGAAAACAAGAATCCAAACAAAATTTACCAAACTCACTTCAGACTGATTTATTACTTGTCATTCCTTTCATACATACAGTAAGGTATCTCCAGTTAATTAACAAGTTATTTTAAAACATGAGAATGTTTAACAAGAAGCTGATTTTGCATTTTGGGCCCACTATTGCCACAAATTAAATTAACACGTAGTATATTTCCTCCTCTTTCTTCCCTCCCCACTTTGTCCACAGAGAAAAAACCCTGCTATGAGGTAGACTGCTGAGTCCTGCTTGCTTCCTGGGTTTGTCCCTCCGTAACTTCAACACACTTCAGCACGTTTAAGCATCTTAATTCTTCCATTTCACATTAAGAAAAAAACAACCAACCAACCAAACCCAAACTTGCAGATAAAAAACGCGACCTCCTCCTGCCACGTGCATGCCTTTGCTATCCACGCAGGCTGACTGGCGGCGGAGGCCGCAGGAAAGTATCTGTGCTCGGCACAAAGTGGAAGCCCAGCCCCGCACACGCAGCGAGCCCGTAAGCCAGTGCCTCGGCCCCGAGCGGCCGCAGGTGCGGCGAGAGCCCCGGAGCCAGCGCGGAGGAGCCGCGCCCGTCGTTTAACCAAAGCGAATCCCTCCCCAGAGGAAACGGGTTGGGGGAGCCCCGCCAGCCCGGCCGGTGACCCCGCCCTGCGGCACCGCCGCCCAGCCTGGCCCGGGCGCGGAGCCGCGGGCGGCACAGGCAGGCCCCGGCAGCCCAGCCCGCCGACACCGGGACAGGGCAGGGCTGGCCGCACCCCCCGCCCCGCGGAAGGAGGGAACCGCCACTGAGCTACCGGCGCCCGAGGAGCGCACCCGGCCGGGCCGCGCCCCGAGCGCTGCTCAGGCGCGGGGCAAGGCCGGCGCTCCCCGAGCTTCCCGGCCGGCACGGGCCGCCCCAGCGCGCGGCTGAGTGCGGGTGGACCGGCCCGGCGGGACAGTGACGGCCCCACCACCCTGAGCCAAGCGGCGCCGTCACAGGCGCTCCCGTCACATCCCGGCCGTTCCCGCCAGTTCCCGTCATGCCGCGGCGCCTACAAGTCCCGCCGGCCCCCGGCCCCGCCGTCATTAACCCTCTGCGGCTCTGAGCGCCTTTGCCGGCCCGCCCGGCCCCCCCGCCCCGCCTCGGCGGCTGCCCAGCGGGTCCCGTCCCGAGCCCCCGGCACGGCTCCTGTGCGGCCCCAGGAGGAACGGCTGCCTCCGCCCCGGTCCGGAGGCGGCGGAGCTCGCTCCGAGCGGCCCGGCCCGGCCCGCCCAGCGGCGGCCCCGGGCCGCTGATGCTGGGGCGGCTTTCGGTGCTCCCGCACTGAGGTTTCTGGTCCCCAACCACAGTTTTTTGTTGCTGGTATTAACCTCACGCTCCCTGCCGGATGATAAAAAGCAGTCGAAATACCTTCTACCAACTGTTTGGTTTTTTAATTTGTTTGTTTTGTTTAAGAAGGCAAATTGCAATAAGCAAATTAACTCAAAAATAGCTTTACAACCCCCAGAAAACTTTGGGACAAAGTTACTGGGAAATGCGGAGCTATCCGGCAGTGAAACGAATGCGAAAACTCAGTAACACATTCCTATTCTATCCTCCTTCCCATACACTCTTCATACAGGTGCTCAGTATACATATGACTAACACATATAGCAGTTTGTCAGCTCCTCTCTTAAAATAAGTAGCAAACAATGTGCATGCAACTAACCTGCTGTGATCTAAAAAATAACCCAGAGTGTCATAATCCATTTATAAAATAAGTGAGGGACGGGGCGTGGGGGGTGCAGATATCACAAGTTCAGACAGAAGCAGCACCTCAGAGGAAAATCCACTGGGTCTCACCCGACCCCCTCCACAGCCCAGCACCGCACCCCGAAACACACCCCATGCACACAGCTCATTCCCTATACTTCCATTTAAATGGCAATTTTGTTTTTTTATGAAAGCCTCGTGCAGCAAATACAAGTCAAATGGCTCTAATTTGTAGTGCTACAAACTGTAACATGCCCAGACGTGTTGCTGCCTGACAGACTACACAGAAATCTGGCTTAGGCTCCAACCTCTGAAACAAATGCAAATATCCAGAAACATTCTGCTATTTCTCCAAAATTAAATTACAAGTGAAACAAACCTACTGCCAGATTTTTCATATAAATACTTCTTTTTAAAAAATAAATCACTAAAAATTTATTATTTATTTCAAACCATAAACAACACAGAGGAAAGAGACACATACGTTTTCCTTTTTAGAAAAAAAGAACTATCTATGAGAAAAGCACATATGTAGCTCCTTTTTAAAGTTTATTTTTTAATACTCTGTGCCTTAAATCAGCATAACAAGCCTATAGATTTATCTAGAGAAATCACAATTAGAAAATCTTTTAATGTTGCACTGTTTTTCGGACACTTATAGGAGGTTTTTAAAGACAATTCACAGCCATGGTATTTCAAACGGCTTCAGTACAATTATTTAGAATTTACTCCTTACTATAGCAATTTCTACTTTGGTATATATTTCAAAATTTCCTTGGAAAACACAATCAATTCCCATCTAGCTTAGCGTACCTACACTGTTACCTCTTTTTCTACATTTTCTCTTTACAAATCAACCACAAACATTTTATAAGTGTTTACATATACATAATAAAGTAATGAAAAGGACAACACAACAAGAGAAATGCTCAAAACCAAACTTAAGGTGTAAATGACCTCCTCCCATGTTCCAGACGTACCTACAAAAATCCCTGCTCACTGGTACAGGATTATACATTTCATTATGAGTTCAGCCTTTTTATATTTCGTACTATTTTAACACTCTAAATTTATAGATTTTTAAAATTGGCATGTTAAAAGGGCTTTATTTAAGAATTTCAATGAAAACAGTGTTATGTTTTGTCATATTACCATAATCCTTCTTTTTAAATCACTTAGAATTTCAGTATAACCTAATTAAGTAATTTTAAGTAAGTCTTAACCCAAATACATAGATCTAATAAAAATGTATTTTGCAAACAGGGAAAATAGACCTCTGAAATGTATTCCTCAGGTAGGAACAAAGATGCTGAAACATTTTCTCCCCACAAACTTTGAGATCTGAACTATTTCACAGCACTTATATTTAAAACCAAAATACTTATAAAAAAACAAAGTTCACCAAATATCAAGCATAATGTTTTATTCCAATTGTATTTATTTATTCCTTTTCTATTTGAAATAAATATTTCAATTTTCCTTGCCAAAAAGGAGAGAGAAAAGGGGAAGAAAAATACTTAAAAATCCTAACTACCTATCTTCACATATTGTTTATTTCAAAACTTTTCTAACAGCAGTTTATACTTTTTTTAGATATTGTATATTATTTTGCCTGTAGAAATATTATGATTTAGATTTTTGCCTTTTATAAGGTTACAGAATAACATTATAGCTTTTAGAGACTTCTAATATTTCTTAATCTCTCTTTTTTTTAAATACTACAAACATCTCATTTGGTAAATGGAATTTACATTTCTCTCTTGTCTAAATTATCACAGTTGAATCAACAATTCAAATCAGGAAGAAAAAGTGATGTACCATAACACAATAGCAAGTCCAACACTTTAACACAGCTCCTCTATCTATTGGTGTATAAAAAGCTTACACAGAGTATAAAATATCTCAGAAATACAGATTCTTTCCTGATCAGAAAATTTTATTTATTGATTAATTTGACCTCACGGAATTGCATTTTTTTCAAAAAACATCCTATCTCTAGCTTTATGCCATTTCCTGACTCTTGCTTAATTAACCAGCATGCTTTAAAAACAAGTCTTGTTCCTTCAACTTAATCAAAACAGACTACTTTTAACTGCTACCACATCAACTATATTTTTCAACACAATAAAGCCACGTACAATTAGAAAGATCTATTTTTTTAGCCCTGTCTTTGACCAACCACAGATTATAGCATCTACTTCCAATTTATTAGCTATTCTAATATGACGTGAACTGAAACACACACCACGACTCACAAATACATCCATCTTTCTATAGTATCCTCTCATTTGCATCTTTTAATGGGAAAATCCAGTATACTACTGCCAGGACTGCTGTTCTCCTGCAACTGACTGGACTTCAGAAAGACTTGGCATTAACTTCCCTCCCTCACAACATTTTGCCTCCTCGCCTCTCTCAAACTAAACCAAAAATATTTGTGTTTGCCTGAAATGTCAATAAACTCCAAAATCTAAAAGGCCAAAAGGTCAGGTATTATTTAATCTGAACAGAAAAGTTATTTTCTTTCTATATCAAAAGGTATCAGTAACAGCGCATTACCTGAGAAGTTATGCTCGTTTCCCTCGGACGTCTGTCCTTCTGTCCAGAACAGGGGCTGTGCCGGGCTCCCTATAATGTAAGAGAGAATAGATTAAAATTATTGTATGCCAGGACACATTTTTGGATGTTCAAATTATGTCACCCTCACAAAGCTTTGTATCTCTTGATCTGAAAAGCATTTAAGAACTCCTATTGCATTCTAATTAGAGTCCTCAAAATTGGTCTTGATAAGTCAGGTGCGCATGCCAAAAATTAGTTCCATACATGGTAAATTGAAGTACCAGATTTTCCAGACCCGTTTTTCAGTTCTTAGAGGCCCGTATAACACTGTATTAAACTGTATACCACTGCATGCTCCATCTCATTAGCAACATTTAACTGCAAGTGGCATGATCTTACATTTAAAAAGAAAAAAATAATTTATTTTACATACACTGAAAAAAATTTTTAAGCCATTTACATGAGGGACAGAGTCCTGAGATATTTCTTTGCACGGCAACTTTTTCCTTCTCTGCTTTAGAAGCTGAATACCTTCCCAGATAAATTCGGTGTCTGCTTTACCATTTTTTCTGTGGTTTGTGTTATTTTGTACTTTTTTGTGATGCTGTACAATTTCCATAGGCCTGTAGTTTTGAGACTTCTATCTCCTCCCTTCACATGCAAGGAAGATACCAGCTAAAATCACTGTCTATACACTGTTACCCCCCCCTTTTTCCCTCTATGCTTTATCAAACAAATGTGAGAGGGGAAAAAAGTTCAAGATAATGAGTCCAAATTCATTGTGCTAAATTTCAAAAAACCCCCTTTCCTTCAGTTTGTCATTTAATAAGCATTATCAATGTAAATCATGGTCAGAAAGCCTCAGCACTGGAGAGTGTAGTACTTATGACTAAACTGCCTTTTTTTAAAACAAAACAAAACAAAACAATACAAAACACCTGCCATCTCTTACCCTTCTCCGTCCACATATTTTAGCCTCCTAATACTGCTTAGATCTATAGCAGACTGTTGCTGCACATGTATTTTTCCACCCAATTTCCTAGACATTGACAAATGTGAAACAAGGAAGAATTTTGCACAATGTTAACTTATCTAAACCACTTATTTTCTCCATTCTCCCTTTTTCTCCATGACTCCCATTGCTTTTTTTTACCCTCTGGTGTTGTTTTGTTTGGTATTTGCCCACTTTTCTGTACATTTGTCTCCTGCTGATTATACTAAACGGGGCAGAGAGAACTGTCTATCTGTCTCTCCCCTTTGCTACACTGCCTCTCATTTTTTTGTGTTTTACAGATTAAACACATTCTACAGTCATTTTCATATATTTTTAAAGATACTTTTCCTTTCCCTTCTCTAGAAACTTGCTGATTACAGTCCCCAATACTTTTGCAAAGCAAGGTCAATACTGTCTTGCTCTAGCACACGCTCCTGTCAGCATATTAAGTGTACATGACTTGCAAGCCTGTGATGCAACACGTGAAAAAGGAAAATGCATGGAAAAGAAAAGGGGGTAACATTTATAGATGCCCCTAAACATCATAAATAAAAAAAATAGACATTTTTAATTGGTTCTGACTTTTTAAAGAGATACCATCATGAGAAAACATCTATCTTAGGGGAAATCTTTATCTAGATCACTAGCAACACTTTCACACACTAATAAAACTAAAGAAAATTTTACAATTCAAATTTACTGTTTAGCATCACCAGTTTAGGATTTACTTTTCTGCATTTTACTCAGCCTGGGGAGTGAGAGTTGCCTGTTGGTTTCACTTTTGTTCTCAGCTAGTTTCACTTTCATGCACTGGCAGAATCTTCTATATTTTTGGTTCAGCAATGTTAAAGATGACATTTACATCTTTAAACAATCCTCATTACACTTTTAATACAAACAATTCATGTCCATCTACTTCCCAGGACACTAAGAAAAAATTATTTTGGGGGCCTAAATATAAAGGATAGCATACTTCTAAAGGAGCAGCTTTCACCTTTCTCATGTTGGGTTGTAGTCTGCTCCTTCTTTCCCTGAAATCAATAGGAAATGTGCCATTCACTTCACTGACATCAGAATCAGGCCTCTGGGTCTGTAATCTGCAATAAAAGAATGCCAAATGCAGACCAATATATTCCTTATAACGTACAATGTTTGTCTTCAATTATTTTCCTATGCAAACTCAAGGGGAAAAAACCACCAGTTCCTGCATTTACCTTTCTGTATACTTTTAAATTAGTGACAAATACCCTTCTTGACACAGGCCACAGAAAATTAGAGGGCATCTGTTCACTTTGAGTGGTTTTCATGGGGAGGGAAATACTGTATCTCTCTGCTACCAGTTGTGAATAACTCTTTCTCCTCCTTGTGCGAAGCACAATCAATAAGAAACACTCCAGCCCATACAGAACTGTTACTGTCTTGCACCAGGACCTTGTCTAACCAAAGTTTCCAAAGCTTATGCTTGCGTAAACCTCATTTTTTCAGAATACACCACAATGCTTTTAGCAACTATAACTATCAATAGCAGGGGAAAAAAAAACGGCTTCCATTTATATTTTCCAAACCCATATGTACCCTTTTACATGACCTTCCCTCTCTATGGTACAGACTCCAAAACGCAGTCACTAACTCGCACATATGTGTAGGTTGGCCCATATACATACAATGAAATCTTCCTCTAGCTACCAAAGCACTGCAGCTTCTGCCTTTGTAGACATAATGGCTTCTGAGACACTGAGACTTAAAAGAAAGACTTAGGGGTTTACAGGAGCCACGCAACAATCACTTTTTCAACTTCTTTCCTAGAAATTCTATGTCCTACAAGCACACACAGAAATTATCACTAGCAGCTTACAGAAATTATAGTCATATTTATATGCCAAAAGTTAAATATTAAAAGCTCACCTATGCAACTCCTGTGAGAATACTTATATCACAGTTTTATTTTTACTACTGTTTTATTTCACGACATGAAACTTAAATAAAAAAATGGAATTTCATTGTGATCATGTACCCATCCACTTCAGAGACACACACTTTTTTATTCAAGCAGTCTGTGGTACTATGTATTTGACACATCACACATCTAGACACGAGCAGCTTCCACAGAATGATATAGCACATGTTCCTGTTTTCTCTTTTCTTGAATGTAACTACACAGAAGAAGAGTAACTACGCTCTCAAATAATTTGTCTCTGCTTTTGTTCTCAACCACTACTTCTCCTTTCCTTTCCCCAGAAGACATGTCTTGTGTTTCCAAGGCCAGGTCAACATGAGACTCATACACAAACTTAATTTCAAGCATACAGTTATAGCCCCTGTGTTCAGTGGGGTTATTCACTCACTTAGGTCAACCACACCCTAAAAGCTTCTGTGCCATACAAAGATAGACCACTATAATCACCTGGGTCACAGAAAACAGAGCTTACCAGAAAGCCTGATCGCAACACTGGCTTTCATATACTCCCAACACACTGCGTCTACACCCCAGGGTAGCCATATCCCTCATAAGTTGCAAAATTCACTCTTTCTTAACTGCGTTGTCTAAGACTTGTTTGTCCCTAATTTCCTAACGTCCAACCATGCTGTTGATAAAGTGTTTTGGTGGAAGTTAGCTATTACATCAGGCTTTCACCCAGGGCTGCATTTCCCCCCATAATAAAGTGTCCTGAGAGAAAGACTTTGCTAGCTTTCCCTGCATTAGCTTTTAGGGCAAAGACCCTGGACTGTATCAATTTCTTTAATATATGATGAAGCTTAATTAAAGTGGGCACTCATGAAACCAGTGAATATCCATCCATTAATATGGGTGAAATGAGAGAAATAATTACAGAAAATACAATGGCCTGTTTCAAAATGGTTCCCTTAAATGATGTGCTTCATAACTTAGCCTTGCTCCTAAATGCTGTTCTTGGTACACTTGTAGAAATGACTTCCTTCTAGAGATTGTACCCTGTATTTTATCTGTCTTGTATCACAGAATCACAGAATATACCGAGTTGGAAGGGACCCACAAGTATCACCGAGTCCAACTCCTGGCCCTGCACAGGACCATCCCCAAGAGTCACACCACGTGCCTGAGAGTATCGTACAACTGCTTCCTGAATTCTGCCAGGCTTGGTGCTGTGACCACTTCCCTGGGGAGCCTGTTCCAGCATCCAAACATTCTCTGGGTGAAGAGCCTCTTTCTAATACCCAAACTAAACCTCCCCTCACACAACTTCAGGCCATTCCTTCGGGTCTTATCACTGGTCACCACAGAGAAGAGAACAGTGCCTGCCCCTCCTCTCTCCCTCACAAACAAGTTGTGACTGCAGTGAGGTCTCCCCTCAGTTTCCTCTTCTCCAGGCTGAACTGACCAAGTGACCTCAGCCATTCCTCATAGATCATCCCCTCAAGGCCCTTCATCATCTTCTTTGCTCTCCATTGAACACTCTCTAATAACTTAATATCTTCCTATATTGTGGTGCCCAAAACTGCCACAATATTCAAGGGGAGGCCACACCAGTGCAGAGCAGAGCTGGACAATCTCCTCTCTTGACCGGCTGGTGATGCTGTGCCTGATACACCCCTGAACATGATTGGCCCTCCTGGCTGACAGGGCACTGCTGACTCATATTCAACTGGCCATCAACCAGGACCCCCAGGTCCCTTTCTGTAGCACTGCGGAAATATAAATAAATTTATATAAATATTTGCTATACATTTTTGTGTTTCTTAAACTAATGAGATAATTTTAGCTGTGTAACTGTCATTTGACTTTTGTCTTCCAATATTAAGGATATTAAGACCTCACAGCAAGGATTATCAATGAACCCTTCAAAATACTGAGTGTGGTAGAGGGGCGGAAGACAGTTACATGTGATGGAAAGAGGGTTGGTGTTCTTCCAAAGATACTTAATGTTGTACTAATTCCTGAAGTGCAAAGAAGGGAACTCCCCAGGAGATGCCTTTCTTAGCCAGAAGGCTTGAAGGGCTCTGTAGTCTCTCCTTGGGGTTTCTAATGGTTTGCAGCCCTCTTTGCAGGTCCTACTGTGGTAGAAGAGGTTATCACAAGGACAGTCTGCTCCTCTCT